CCTCCCCCCTCTTCCTTCATTAGTGTTCACACTTGGACCCCCTAAACATGGGCAGGGGTGAGGGCGAGGAGGGCTTTACTGAGCATGTGCTACATACACCGAGGATCAACCTTGACCCCAGCTGAACCCCCAAACGCTCCTGCTCTGCCTTCCTGGGCCACAGATGAGGGTGCCAGGACTCAGACAGCTGTGGGGCTTGGGCAGCTGGCAGAAGGGTGGAGCTGGGTATTGCAGGCCCAGCCTGCCAGGCGTCACCCCCCCACCCCCCACCCCGAGAGCATGTGAGATGCTTGTGGCCCTCACTTTCCCTCTTTCCCTGGGGACCCTTCAGCGTCCTCTTCTGTGAAATGGAGGGGGGCGTGCTGATGAGCCTCAGCTCTGGACCACGAAAGCGTGCGGCCACCCAGCCCCCCACAGTGCTGGGACAGGTGGGGCTGAGCAGGTTGGTGTCCCGCTGCCCAGGTGGCCCCCAGCCCAGTACTCGGGATCCCCTCCCCGGCACCCACCCTCCCTCACTCTCGTCTCCCTCGCACCCACAGGCAGCTGCTGAAGACGGAGCTGGGGTCCTTCTTCACGGAGTACCTGCAGGTGAGTGGTCTTGCCCTCCAGCCAGGCTGGGACGTTTCCCGAGCTGGCCAAAAAGGCCAGGGTCACCTACTATCGGCGGACATACGGAGCACTAGGTTCCGAGGACTCGGCCGCACCGTGAATCAGTTTCCCCACCTGGCCACTGCTGTGGTTGTGACGATTAAATGATAAGACCCAGGCGAAGTCCTCGTCCTATGTCTGGTCCCTGGTGAGACGGGTGGTTTTGTTATTAGGCGTCCACCTTCTGGAATGTCAGTGCGGGCCCCCAGATGTCCGTGTGTGGGTCATCTCTGCCAGCCCTGCTGGTGCCCTGAGCCACATGGTGTCAGCGTCCCTGAGGCGCCCCTGTTCCAGGTGCGGCAGCACTTGACATTCCTGGCACCCCATGTGGCCAGCGGGCCTGCAGAGCACATGGGAACCTGGGGCTCGGGGAGGCGACAGGACCTGCCGAGGTCACAGAACCAGGGAAGGGTGGCGTGGGGACATTCTCGCACCAGGTGGCGTGGGGACATTCTCGCACAGGCTCGGAGCCAGGTGCCTGGCCTGCCTGGGGAGGGTCCTCGGTTCCCAGGGGTTGCGGGTTGGCTGTGTAACATATTTACCGAAGTGTGAGTCATGTACCGTACAGAGCACCCATTTAAAGTGTACCATTTAGTGGTTTTTAGTATATTCACAGTTATGTAACCATCCCCACTATCTAATTCCAGAACGTTTTCATCACCCCAAAAAGAAGCCCTGCATTTATAAGCAGCCCCCATTCCCCTCTCTCCAGCCCCTGGCAACCACCAGTCTGCTTTCTGCATCTGTGGATTTTCCTGTTCTGGGCATTTCACATCAATGGAATCTCACAACATGGATCCTTCTGTGTCTGGCTTCTTTCACTGAGCACAGTGTTTTCGAGGTTCACCCGTGTTTAGCGCGGGTCGGTGCTTCACTCGTTTTGGCAGTCGAATAATATTCCATTGTCTGGACGTACCCATTTTGTTCGCCCATTTGTCCGTGGGCGGGCACTGGGTCGTTTCCCCCTCTTTGCTATTGCAAATGGTGCTGACACCACATGGCGTCCTTCTCGGCCGATACCCAGGGGAGCGTGCACGGGGCCTGCGGTTTGAGCCTCGTGTTAGTGATGGGAGTTCACAGACCAGCCTTCAGTGAGCTTGGACTTCTGGGGCCCTGCCTGCCAGGACCCCCGCGGGGCACCCATGAGGCAATGACCATGTCTCTGTACCTTTCAGAACCAGCTGCTGACAAAAGGCATGGTGATCCTAAGAGACAAGATTCGCTTCTATGAGGGTGAGTCTGGCAGCCTGGCGGCCGGGACCGTGTGCCAGATCACACTGCTTGCTGGCATGGCTGCTGGGCATTGGTGGCCAGTGCCATAGATGGTGGTGCCACAGGGGTGCCCTTGGGAACCCTGGCACTGCCAGCCTTGCCTGGGCCCCCAGGGTTCTGGGTGGGTGATCTCTCTTGATTGAGGGAGCTTAGGAGGGGCAGCAATGATGCCTCAGGGCAGCAGGGCTGAGATCTGACCCCAGGAGGGGACCTGGTCGGGGAGAGCATCTGCCCCTCACTTGCTGGAGCCCAGGAGAGCTGAGAGATGTTGGAAAGAAGGCCCCTGCTTTTCCCTGCTGCCCACAGCAGCCTGGGGGGACCTCTGCCAGGATCTTGGAGGGCTGGAGGGGAACTGGTTTAGGGCAGAAGTTGCCCTGATTTGCCCGAGGGAAGAGTCTGGCGCAGGGAGCTGCCGCCTGGGTGGAGGCAACTGATGCGGGTTCCCTGCCGGGCATCGTCGGTGGGTTTTCCCCTTGAATGCTCACACCCACCCTGTGAGGCCTTTGGGTCATCATTCCTGTTTCACAGCTGGGGAACAGCGCAGGGATGATGGGTGATTTATCCGTGACCACACCGCTAATAAGGAGTAGAGGTGACATTCGAGAGGCAGCCTGACTCCAGAGCGCACACCCTTTGCTCTTCTAGGGGCCCAGCTGGCCTCTGCCCGGCTCCGGCCTCAGCAGGTAGGGGAGGGTCATGACCAACTGCTATCTTCCTCCAGGCCCTGAGTCTCAGCAGGGCGGGCCCGGTCCCGGCACTGTCAGGCTCCCAGTGTCATGGCCCCTGGGGCGACAACCAAAAGTGTGTGCCTTCCCGCAGGAGTGAATTGGCGGAGAGAGAAATCAAATTATAGGAGGACCCAGCTCAAACTGATATGTATTTGCTAAGGGCCTACTGTGTGCCAGGCCTGTGCTGAGTTCGGGTTCCATGAACATTTGTTGAGCACCTACTATGCACTGGGCACATTCTTACTCTGCCAGACTCTGTCCTGACTCCGCTAACTCACTGGATCCCCCAGCAACCCTGTGAAGGAGATGCCATTGGTGTAGCCACGGCACACATGGGGAAACCGAGTCACGGAGGAGGTCAGTCACCTGCCCAGGCCACGTGGCTGCTACGTGGCAGCCTGGCTCCCGAGCCCACACTCCTCTCTCTGCTGCTCCAGCTCCCTCCTCGAGTCCTCACTCTGACCCTGGGAAGAAGGGAACGGTAGCCCATCTCACGGAGGAGACGGGCCTGGCGGCCTGGCCTGCTCTCGGAGCGGTGTGTCCCCACTTCCTTCCCCACCTTCTCTGTGCATGTTGGATGGAGCTGCTGAGGCGGGAGCCTGAGAAGGGCCGTAAGAACCTCAGACGTGCGGGCTGGGAGGCACAGGCCACTGGGGATTCTGCAGCCGGCTTCCTGGAGGAGGCAGCACCTAAGCCCACAGGACAGGGCGGTGAGGATTTGGCACCTGGTGGAGACACCCTCCTACGTCCCCCTCCTGACTCGGCGCATTCCGGCAGTGCCTGCACCTCCCACCAGCTCCAGCTCAGGGGAGCTGGGATCATCGGAGAAGGGAAGCTTTGTGTGGCTTGCTGGAGACCTTCCCACAGAGGCTGTGTCCACCAGGCCACCCAGCAGGGATTGCCAGCCCCGTCCAACCTCCTCAGGCCTCAGGGACAGTCACAGAGCCCCAGGCTGGAGGCCAGAGGGCCTGGTATCCAGTTCTCATCCAGCCACAGACGCGTCATTTCCCTCTGGTCTCAGTGTCCCCATCTTAGCACTGTGGGGCAGCACAGGCTCCATCCATTTGCTCAGTACATGTCAGGCCCCAGGTGGCCTCTGGGGACCTGGGAATAGAGGAGACCAAGGCCCTGCCCAGGAGGGGCTCACAGCTAGTTGGGGACACAGACATGGACCAGATGGTGAAAGTACGTGATGAATGTCAAGGTGAAGTGAGCCCCGGGAAGAATGGATTGGTTCCACATTGGCAGTCCAGGAGGGCTGCATGGAAACAGTGGCCCTTGAATAGGGCCTCAAATTGAGATCTGTTCAGGAAGATGTCTGGCCCCTTTCAGCCTATGCAGTGGGAACAGTAACTGACCCCACACCCTGAGGGCAGCCTCAGAGCCTTGCCCTTCTGCCTGCCACCCGAGTTTGGATCCCAGGAAGAGCTCTTCCTTGAGACTGCTGCCAATGGCCAGCCATGCCCTCAACCCATGCCTCTGCTGCAGGGGGCGGTGGCCCCTGTGGGGTGGCCCCAGGCCCTTTCCACCTGTCCCCTCTCCGACCTCTGTGGAGGCCCAGGCACTGCGGTCATCACTGTCCCTGGGGTCTCCCCAAGACAGACTGAGACTTAAGCCAACATCAGCACTCAGAAAAGGAAGACCAGCCTACCCCCAGGCGAGAACTGGCTCTGGGCTGCCGGCGGCACGTGGGTCCTGAGTGTCGGCAGGGACACGGCTCACATGTCATCGTGCCAACAGCCAGCACTTGAACACCTGCTCCGTGGCAGCTTTCAGGCCCTGCGCGTGTGGGACGTTACTGTGCTCACTTTACGGAGAACCACTCAGAGGCTCAGGGTGCGGGACTTCTTGGGGTCCCACAGCGAGGCCTCTTCAGCCCAGTGCCGCCTGACTCGACCCTGGCGCCTCCAGACCACAGTCCCCAGCAGAGAGCCTGGCCGGCGGGTGAGGCCCCGCTTCCTGGCCTTGGTCAGCATGCGGCTCTGGCCGGACCTGGACTCCGCGTTTTACAACATATGCTGTCCGCTGCGTTTTTGCCTCAGGAGCTGGAGAATGTCCTGTGCTCAGTAGACACTGGCCTGGCCCAAGCCCAGGGCCACCCCACAGCAGGCCCAGGGAACTGAGCAGCCTTTCTTCCTGCCAGCACCGGCAGGACCTGAAGGGACCTTTGTGTTCAGGCAGAGCCTCTCAGGCAGCAAGCACCCACCCGTCCCGCCGCAGACCCAGGTTCGCCCCCGGAGAGGACCGGGAACTGACCACTTGGCAGGGAGCCTCAATGCCAGTAGACAGGCCAAGCACCGAGGCTGGACCCCCCTCACCGCCGGCTGGGTTGGACTGGGCCTCCCGTGACTGGCCTTGCCAGGCTCCCCTCCCAGAGCCCCAGCACCTACACAGACCTGGGGACTTTACAAGGTGGGGGGAGTGGGGCCCAAAGCCCAAGGAGAGTGAGGAGAAGAGAGGCCGAGGCCCTTGTCCAGCCCCCTCGTTCCCATGGAAACCTCCAGCGGTCCGGCGTGAGCAGTGCATTCTGGGAGGCCAGCCTGCATGGGGCACTTTTTCCTCTTCACCCGGAGACACCCACCACACCCCGTTTTGCTCGTCTGCCGATTGCTAGTCTGGCTTCCAGGTGGAGGTCTTGGCAACATGTACCAGGGTCTGCTTATCCCAGCCCCAGAGCCCTTCATCCCAACTCGGCTCTTGCAGTGGAAGGGCTGAGGGTTCAGCACTTTGTATTTCCTGGAGGAGCCCAGAACCAGCTTGGGGGCACCTCAGCTATCCCCATCCCCCAGGGGCTGTTCACCTTGAGGATGGCACTGTTCCTTCCCACGGCCGGCAGAAGTACCTACAGAGCTTGTCCAGATGCCTGCTTTCCGCACCTACTTTTGTGCTTCATGCACCAAGGATGTCAGTCAATCTGGCAAACCATCCTCCTAAATCAGCTTGGATAACACTTCCTCCAGGAAGCCTTCCCTGCCTGACTCCACCTTCTCTCCCCTCTCCTACCTGGGACACATTGCTGCTGTTAGACATGGTCTCACTGGCTCCCCAGATCCCACCTCAGGCAGCCTGGGGTGACAGGGACCCAAGCCTGAGAGAGAGAGAGAAAGGAATCTGAACCTCAGAGGTTTAGTCTCTTCATCTGCCCAGTGCGGTCACCTGTCACCATTGTCCTCATAATTGCTGTTCAGTGTCCTGTTTCCCTGTCATGTGATAGGACTGGGGTTATTTGGGGCTCCACTGGGTCCCCTTTGTCAGGCCTGGCACTGTGTAGGTACTCTAAATGTCTGTGAGAATGACAGACAGCTGGTGCGTGGGCACGGAGGAGGAGGATGGACGGCTGGACGGATGGATTCCTCAGCTGCTTGGCGGGGTCCTCAGGTGAATCAGATGAGACAGGATGTGTGCTGGAGCTCCTGTTGGGGGCGCACCTGTGCGGGTCTGGCATGTGGGCAGGCCCGGGAACTGGTAGCTAGCACTCACCAGCCCCCTGCACCAGGCTCTGTGTAGGTGGGCGGGCCCTTACTGTCCCGTTTTATTGATGGGGAATCTGAAGCACAGGAAGGTTAAGCGGTGGGTACCAGGCCACAGACTCTGTGCCGTTGATCTCGGGGCTGGGGGCCTCCAGAGCCGGCCCTCAGCTCCTGCGTCCTGCAGACAGGAGCGGTGACTTCTGGGAGGGCACGGAGTGTCTGCCGAGCCCATTTGGGCTGGGCCATGACAGCTCCCTGTTCCCACAGGACAGAAGCTGCTAGACTCGCTGGCAGAGACGTGGGATTTCTTCTTCAGCGACGTGCTGCCCACGCTGCAGGCTATCTTCTACCCCGTGCAGGTAAGTGGCCCTGCAGCCATAGGACCCCTGGGCACAATGATGGCCCTCGCTGGCCTCGCTCCAGACTGCCCGGCCTGTCACAATACCTGGGTGACGTCCCTGGATCTCTCAGAGCCTGTTTCCCACCCACAGGATGGAAATAAGGACAGCTCCTTCCTAAGGACTCTGTAAAGCGCAAAGTAGGGCATGCCCAGCACATAGTAGGGGCTCTGTGTGTGACAATAACCCATTTCTTGCCTGAGGGTCAGTGGGTCCATCCCTCTGTATCTGGCCCCAGAAATGGGGAATCTCAGTGACACCAGCAAGTGGGGCGCAGCATTCTGTGTCTGTAGGGCAAGGAGCCGTCGGTTCGCCAGCTGGCCCTGCTGCACTTCCGGAACGCCATCACCCTCAGCGTGAAGCTGGAGGACGCACTGGCCCGCGCCCACGCCCGCGTGCCTCCCGCCATCGTGCAGATGCTGCTGGTGCTACAGGTGGGTGGGGCCTCAGGAGGCCGCCGCTTACCCGCGTCGGGGGCGTCCGTGGGCGAGGCTCGGGCAGGTGGTGTGTCTGGAGCCAGGGTCCCCGGAGGCAGAGCCTGAGGTGAGGATTTGAGTCCACTGACTTACTCACGGGGATACCTGTGAGGGAGAGTGAAGCAGGAGAGGACAGGAGGAGTTGGACAAAAACGGGGGTTCGGGAGAAGGCTGGCCTCAGCCTGGTACCACAGGAGCCCAGGAGTGGGAAGAGGACCAGAGCTGTCCCTTGGGGGCTGTGGGCTGCCTGCCCCCACTCCCCACAGTGATTCCAGACATTTCCAGTGCAGATGGTTTTCATCCATGAGGGCAGTTCTCGGGAGGGGACAGCTGGGAACTCTTGGCAGCCACACACCCAGCCGTGGGGAGGTGAGTGGCCCTCCCAAGATGGGATCTGATGGGCCACCAGCAGCCTCCACTGCAAATTAGGCCTTTCTGCAAACATCCTGAGCCCTGAGGTGGGCACAGCACTCTACAGTTTGCTGGCTTATGTCATAGGACCAGGGTAGGCACCGTCAGCTGCCCTATTTTACAGGCCGGGAAACAGTCCGCATCAGGAGCCGCCAATCAGGCCAGGGTCCTGGCCTCCCCCAGGTCTGACCAGCCCCGAGCCTTGTTCATTGTTCTGAATGCCCCAGGCACATGGAAATCCTGCTAAATTTGGGTCTGGGACATGGGTCCTGGGGCCCAGAGCAGCCACTGAAGATTCCAGAGCAAGGAAGGGGCCGATGAATGGGGAGGGTTGGAGGATCAGGGACTGTGCTGGGTGGGAGCTGTGGTCATCCTGGAAACTACATATAAGGATGCCAGGCCGATTTCAAGGGGTTTCCGGTCAGACCTGGCTGGGTTGAAGCTGGGGGCCTTGAGGGACTTTGTTTCTCAGTCTCTTTTTTCATCTGTGTGATGGAGTAAAACCACCTACCTGACAGGGCAGGCTCACAGACAACAGGAAGAAATCGGATATAAAGCCCCCCAGGTGCTCCTTACAGCAGGCAGCCACAGGACGGGGGCCAAGGAGTAAGGTCCTACCTTGAGCCCATGAGCAGCACCTGGGTGGTGGCCACGCTAGGGGGTTGCTGTCCCCTAGTGGCCGCGGTGTCTCATGCAGCTTCCTGGGCTTGGCCCATTGCCCGCCAGACTGTCCTGCCCCTAGTGGGTGCGACCCCCAACCACAACCCTTTGCCATTGCATCACCCGCCCCCCACTTAATCCCCGCCCATGCTTTGAATGGCCTTACCCCAGCCCCTCTGTGAACTTGTCTCCACTGTTTTCCAGTCCCAAATGGATCTGAAGACAACAGCTGCTGGTCAGTGTGTTTTGAGGGCCTACTGTGTGCCCTGTGCTTCACCTGCAGAGTCACAGTTCCTTTTCACTGGGTCTCAAAAGCCAGGAAACAGCCTTGCATCTCAGTGCACACAAGTAATGCGTAGCCTGGGCCCCCATTTCCTCACCGGACTTCATAAACAAATTGTGGGAATGAAATGGCTTGAAGTTCGTGAAGGGCCCCAGACAAGTCAGCGGTGTCACCCTCACCAACATCACTGTTGCTGGGGGCAAAAGGCAGTTTCAGGGAAATCGGGGGTCCTTCATGTTCATCTGGATGACTTTCGGGGACACCCATGGAATCCCACCTTGTCCAAACAGCTGGGTCCATGGGGTCTGTAGTGATGTTTCCTCTGTCATTTCTCATCGTAATTTGTGTCTTCTCTTTTTTTTCCTTATGTTTTCCTGTCTAGAAGCTTACAGATTTTATTGATCTTTTCAAAGAGTCAGGTTTTGATTTCTCTGTCGATTCCTGTTTTCAATTTCATGGACTTCTGCTCTGATTGTTATTTCTTCTGCTTACTCTGAACTTAATTTGCTCTTCTTTTTGTAGTTCCCTAAGGTGAAAGCTTAGATTATTGATTTTAGATCTTTTTCTCTTCTAATATAGCCATTCAGTGCTATACATTTCCCCCTAAGCACTGCTTTCAATGCAGTTCATAAATTTGGATAAGTTATATTTTCATTTACTTCAAAATCTTTAAAACTATTTCTTGAGATTTTTATTTTGACACGTGTTATGGAGAAGTGAGTTTAATATCCATGTATTGGGGGATTTTCTGGTTATCTTTCTGGTTTATCTTACTGGTTCCTGGTTTAACTCCATTGTGGACTGAGAGTAGACATTGTATAATTTTGGGTTGGTTTTTTTTTTTAATCTGTTAAGGTGTGTTTTACTGCCCAGAATGTGGTATATCTTGGCAAATGTTCCCTATGAGCTTGAGAATGAGTGTTATTCCATTGTTGGATAAAGTAGCCTGTAGAAGTCAGTTACATCCAGTTGATGGATGGTGGTGTTCAGTGCAGCTGCGAGTATGTCTGTACTGATTTTCTGCCTGCTGGATCTGTCTGTCTCTGAGAGGGGTGTTGAAGTCTCCAACTAGGGTAGTGGATTTGTGTTTCTCCTTGCGGTTGTATCAGTTTTTGTGTCACATAGTTTGGTGCTGTGTTGTTAGGCGCACGCATGTTAAAGATTGTTACGGCGCCTTGGAGAATCAGCCCCTTTATCATTATGTAATGACCTTGATCCTTGTTACTTGCCTCTGTCGGGAGTCTGCCCTGTCTGAAATTAACAGAGCTACTCCTTCTTGCTTCTGGTCAGTGATAGCCTGGCGTAGCTTTCTCCTCCTCTTCCCTTTTAATCTACATGTGTCTTTGTAGCTTACATGGATTTCTTATAGGCAGCATAGAGTTGGGTTCTCTTGATGTCTCAAACTGCCATTGAACACTAACCTGAGTGTATCTTCTCCCTTAACCAACTCACAGCCCCTTGAGGAGTGATGTCAATCATTCATTCATTCATACATCATTCATTCAGCAAGCACTCACAAAAAGCCTGTTGAGTGCTGGCCCTCTGCCAGGGGTGCTGGGGACACAGAGTTTGACCCCTGATCAGCAAGACCAAGGCTGTCCTTGTGGGCAGCCTCATTCCTCAGGCTTTGGCTCCGATGAAACTGGAGGAAGCAGAGATCATGCAAAGCCCTGGATGAGGGGGGGTGTCAGGGAGACGCTGGATGAGACCTGGCAGGAAAAGGAGCATGGAGCACATGATGCAGAGTGGCAGCTGTTAGATGGACAGGCATTGACTGCCGAGCTTGGATGTGGACCCTGGCCTGGCCCCGTGGGGCAGCCTTTCCTGCGGACAGCACTCCACGGGACGAGGGTGTGAGGGCAGGGGCCCCAGGCGAATTTCCCTGCAGGACTTGCCAGAGCCCCTGGGAAGCCAGTGTGCGGGGGACTCTCCTAAGGGGCAGGGTGCCCCACCTCATCTGGCCACGGGGCTCTTTTCCACAGAGCACCATGGTGCAGTGGGCCGTGGGCAGCTGTGGAGGGTGTCAAAGCAGGAGTGTGACCCGGGGGCTCCAGCTTGAGAGAAGGCTGGAAGGGAGTCGGTGGGCACTGTCCTGGGGGCCAGGGCCCCGTGGGAATGGGAGGAAGGATGGGCCGTTTTGGGGGTGCCTTTGAGCTAAGCCAGCTGGGTAAGGGAAACGGAAGAGGCTGTGCTCTGACCCTCCTTCCGTCTCGCAGGGCGTGCATGAGTCCCGGGGCGTGACCAAGGACTACCTGCGCCTGGAGATGCTGATACAGAAGGTGGTGTCACCCTACCTGGGCACCTACGGCCTCTACTCCAGTGAGGGCCCCTTCACCCACTCCTGCATCCTGGGTAGGGGTCTCCTGGGCCTTGGGTGGGAGTGGAGTGACCACTGGGCCCATCCATCTCTGCCCAGGGGCCCAGGCCTCCCAGTGAGCAGGCCATGTGCTGAACTGGACCCTGGACTCACAGAGATGGGTCGCCTGGGGTCCCTCCTCCAAGGGCTGAGGGGACCCAGTGGGCAGACACCATACGTGGTGATGTGATGACTCCCCTGAGCCCAGCAGCGGCCTCTGCGTCCCTGAGGAGGTCAGGAGTTGCCCAGGCAAAGGACGCAGCACGTGCCGGAGCGCCAGCAACCCTGGTGCATTTGGGGAATCACAGGAGAGGGACGAGGTTGGGGGATGGGCGGGATGGGCGTCCTGGGGCTGACTGGCATGTCCGCACAGACCAGCCACGTTGGTCCTTTAATAGATGGCCCGTTGGTTTATTCCGCAATATAAACAGCACCAGCACCTGTTCTTGGTCCTGGAGGCTCAGCAGAGACCAAGCCCCACCCTCCTAGGCTCTTGTCTGCCAGGGGAGGCAGGCCAGTGAGTGCACAGTCCCCAGATAAGTCCCCAAGGTGACCTGTGCCCAGGTGACATGAGGCCATGGGCAGGGAGCTGAGAGAAGGCCAAACTGGGCGATGACTGCCAAGCTGAAGGGCCAAAGAGTCAGGCCTGGGAAGAGGTACAGGAAGGGCACCCAGACCGAGTGGCTCACCCACCCGCTGGTGTAAAATGCACCTACCAGGCATGGCTCAGCTCGGGTGCGTCCTCGGCAGCTAGAGCAGAACTTTGAGATGCCCGGGCTCCATGCGGCCCTGGATGACCCCGTACCCGCTGCGGGGTGAGGAGGAAGCCTCTCACCTCTGGTCCAGGAAAGGTCTCTGAGCTGCTCACCAAGCTCAGTCCTGCCACCTGGTGGTCACTGTGAAACTGCATGGTCCTGAGTGGGAGCCTGAATCTTGCCCCCACGCGGCCTCGGCCACCGCTCCCATCCTCTGTGACCCTCCAGGGGCTCCCGCCACACTGTGAATACAACCCCAGCCCTGACCGCACTTGGAAGGGCCTCTGGTGGATTTGTCCCCACCACACACATACTAGGACTTTGGCTCTGAGGACAGGGGTTGTGTCTGCCCAGGAAAGTGCTGGCACATAGCAAGCGTTAAGGTCTGTTGACTTTCCGCAGGTAGGGAGACGGAGGCACGTACACAGGTCACTAGCAAGGTACACACTTGAACCCCGGCGGCTGACTTGAGCCCCTCCAGCCCCCACCTGTCCAGGCTGAGAGGCTGGAACGGAGGAGACGAGGGTGGCCGGTGTCAGAGCTGCGTCCCTCTCCCCCACCGGCCAAGCCGCCCCAGCAGGAGGGTGGTGGGGCTGGACCCAGGATCCGTACCAATCGGGCCTTTGCGGTAGCTGCCCCTTCATGCAGAGCTAGGTGCACAGTAGGTGCTCACTGTAGGAGCTGCCTGGCATCTGGCTGAAGGACGGGCCTGAAACACCCAGGTACCTAGGGCAGCCGAGTAGCCGCCCCATCTGCGTCCCCTGACCTCGCGTCCCTGACGCCCATCTGTCTCTGCAGAGAAGCACTTCCTGCGCCGCTCTCGCTCGGGGGACATCCTGGCCAAGAACCCGGTGGTGCGTTCCAAGAGCTACAACACACCGCTGCTGAACCCCGTAGCGGAGCACGAGGCCGAGGGCACGGCAGCCGGGGGCACAGGCATCCGCAGGCACTCCGTCTCCGAGATGACGTCCTTCCCGGACCCCCAAGGCTTCGCCGACGTGCCCAGCCAGGGCCCCACGGGGGACTTCAGAGCCTCCCCGGGCCCCCAGTCGGGGCCCTGCCCCAGCAGACTGTACCCCCCGACGCAGCCCCCTGAGCCTGGCCCAGGAGGCCTGGCCCACAGCTCCCCGCCCTCCTCCAGCCCCGAGAACCTGGTGGACCAGATCCTGGAATCCGTGGACTCGGATTCTGAAGGCATCTTCATTGACTTTGGCCGTCGCGGTGGCTCTGGTGCCTCAGAGCCTGAGGGGGTCGGGGGCCGGCAGAGCATCGTGTGAAGGCCTTGCGTTTGGACTGAGCCCACGTGTGTGCCTGTGCTGCGTGCGTGTGAGCGAGCGAGCGAGAGTTTTTTACTCTGTCCTGTCCAGTCCCCAGTCAGCCTTGGCCACTTTGGCATTTCCCTCTTTGTTGGAAAAACCATCGATGCCCGAGCACCGCTCCGTTCTGGGGTGTCTGCGCCAGCATCATCACCTGCATCACGCAGGTCACCAGGCACACCGGTCAACCTCCTGTGTGTGAAGCGGGCATCACCACTCCCTCCACCCCCCGGCCTGCCCCGGCCCCCTCACGTCTACACCCACAGAGACTATGAATCTGGTGGCATGGCCAGGTCCCCACAATGGCCCCCAGAGCCACGGGGGTTGGTAGCAGACCTGCCTGCCCCTCCCCCACCCACCTCAGGCCATAGCGTGTCCTGCAGGTGAGTCTGCCCCAGACCCTCCGAGCAACCAGCCTTCACTCTGCCAGGGGTGGCCGTGGGCAGGAAGAAGGTGGAATAAAACTTGTCTGCCCTGCTCCCGAGCTCGTGTCATACCAGTCCCCACAGCTGTCCTGCAGGGTCCTTGCCCTCAGAGACCTTCCCTGGGCCTTGCCTCCCCACTCCTGGAGGGACAGGTTCCTGTTACCCAGTTTCTCTGTTCCATCCTGACTGAGGGGCCCGGAGACCCCAGAGGGGGAGCTAGAAAACCCGACAGCCTCTCAGGAGCCCCTGGGACCCTGTGGGGTGCAGGCCGGGTGTGGGTCACTGGCCCTGGGCAAGGGGGGGTCTGGCCCCTGCCTTTGCCCCCAGCAGAAGCACTGGGGCCTAGGAGGGAGGCAGGACCTGTTTGATCCCCACCGCCACCCTGCTGGGAAGGGATGGGTGACACCTCTTACCACCCCTGCAGCCGTGTGACCTCTCCAGCTGTGGGCTCCAGTTCTGAACCTTGCCGTGGGAAGGCTCACTGGCGTGTCCCCATGGTGGCGTTAGTGCATTTGCCAAGCATTTGCCAAGAGCTAGTCTTTCCGTCTTATCCCTCAGACACACACGGCCCTGGGGACACAACGTCCCTGCCTCACCCTGGCGGGTTTCTTGCACAAGAGGGCCACCTCCTGTCTCCCCAGAGAGCCTTCCTGTGAATGCCGTCTGACCATAGGGGTCATCTGAGGCGTCTGCCTGCATTTTGTAGCCATGTCACAGTCTGCTCGGCCACAACAGGTCCAACAGCCTGAGGACTTAAGCAACAGAAGTTTGTGTCCCACACCGCTGGAGGCTGGGAGTCCCGAGTGTGGCCGGGTTCTAGTGAGAACCCTCTTCCAGCTTCACGGCGGCCATCCTCACGCATGTCTGCATGTGGTGGACAGAGCTCCTCATGTCTCTTCATAGGACACTAGTCCTGTTGGACCTCATTTAACCTTAATTCCTTGGCGGTCCCATCTCCAAATGCAGTCACACTGGGGGTTGGGAAGGGGACACAATTCACTCCATAGCACTCTGCTGGGTGATGGGCTCACTCCTCAGGCAGCAAGACCCGCCAGGTGCATCCTGGAAGTCAGAAGGGTCACCATGGGGAAAGGAGCCTTGCCCCCGCGATGGCAGGGCGTGCTGGAGAGGTGGCACTCACGAAGCACTAGCCTCCCGAGTGCCCTCGACTGCCACCCACCTGCAGGACGCCTCAGAGGGGGTGCCCTTGGGCCCTGGGGTGTCTCTGGAACACCTGCTGTGCTCCCTCTGGTATCAGGCAGAAGGGACTAACTCCAGCTTTCGGGAAGGTACTGTTGGGCCGGCTGTTCAGGAACCACAGGCAGGATGAGAATGTGTGCTCTGGGGGTGGGGGGCGGGGGGTTCCCGCCCGCTGGGGAAGGTGCCTGCAGCAGAGGACGCCTCCCAGAGAAGGAAGGAAAGACCAGTATACGAGAGGAAGGCGAGCGAAGGCGAGCGAGGGGTGCGCCAAAGTGGAGGTCGTCCTCTAAAGTTTTCACTCCTTTGTGATTTTCCGTGTGACCAGGAGAGTCATATTTGGCCTATAATTTAAAAGGGAAGGCCACCGGGTACATAACCCCAAAAGAACTAAAAGCAAAGACTCGAACATCCCTGTCCACCCACGATCATAGCAGCTCTATTCACAAGCACTGAAAGGGGGAAGCAACCCAGGTGTGGTCAGCAGGTGAACAGGTAAGCAAAATGGGGCCTCTCCACACAGTGGAGTATGGTTCAGCCTAAAAAGGAGGAAGTTCTGACAACGCGGACGAACCTTGAGGACGTGCTCAGCGAGCTGAGCCAGTCACAAAGGACAGATACTAGATGCATATGATTCCACTTCATGAAGCCCCTGGAGGAGTCCCATTCAGAGAACTAGCGCTCTGGGGACTTGCCCGGGGAGTGTGGCCTGCCCGCCGTGGGGTCGTCCCAGCATCGGGCCGTGGTCCTGAGCTGCGGGAGTACCCAGCAGTGAAGCGGGCAGTACTTGGGGGTTCTGGGAGAAGTGGGGAAGCCGCTGGCAGGAAGCCTCTGCCAGCTCAGGGCACAGATGCAAGTCCCTCAAATCGTGATGCCCGTCTGCTCGCTGCCTCCTGAGGACTCGGAAAGCCCTCATTTCCTGGTCCCCTTGTGACTAGTGGGGCTCTGTGACCAGCTCTGGCCAATGAGTTCTGAGCAGCAGGGCCTTGGGGCGCTTTGGACCTGGAGCGCTTCATGGCCAGGAGGAGACCCTCCAGCTCTCCTTCCGTCTGCGTGGTGACCGGCAGTGTCCCAGATGACATGGCTCCAGCTGGCGGGTTGTTGGGGGTGCTGTGGATGTCCCACATGAGTGGGAAGGAGTTCTAAGTCAGTGGAAGCCCTTGAGACGGGGGGTGTTTCTTACTGCAGCATAGCCTGGCTTGATCTAATATACTCCTCTCCCAAATACTCGAGAGTCTAGAGGAAAGTCGTCTCCGAATGGGGAGAAGGCTTATTCGGGAATATCGCATTTTACATATTTGTGTGTTTTGCACACTCCTCGTGGGCAGAGCCAGGACCCCGGGCACTCATCCTGAATTGGTCACTGCCTTGCCATGTGATGTTGGACGAGTCACCCCATCCTCAGGTTCCCCATCTGCGGCAAGGATCTTTCCAGATACAAAAGTCTGTGGCTGGTGATATTTCTCTGCTTGTCTGTGCGCTATGGACACACACACAGCAGGGGCTGGCAGTAAGATTGTAAACTCCCAGGTACCAGGTGTCCCTGATGAAGTAGCTCCACGCAGATGATAATGTTTTGGGCAGACAAGCACTTAATGGGTTTTGACCTGAAGGTGATAATGGCTTAATAATAAACTGATGGTTTCACCCCCAAGAACACTTCTCATTGACTGATGTGTTTGCAGAGAGCTCGGAACTGCTTTGCCAAGCAGTAAAAAGCTATAAAAATGTAAAGTATCATCCACATCATCACAAGAAGAATTTCTCATGCTAACACTTCTCTTTTCACTGTGGGGATTTATGTCAGCCTGTGTTTGGAAGCGGAGGAGGGACAGGAGAGCATGTAAAACGGAGGTGGGATCAGGCAGAGCTGGCTCTTATTTGCAAGCAATGGAAGCAGATTCTGGCTGATGACACAGAGAAGGTTATTAAAGGATGTCAGGAGTTCCTAGAGCTGTCAGGCCGGGCAGAGCCAAGCTTGAGGGTTGCCTTTGAGGAACAGTGCCTCAGCACAGCCACAGGACAGGCCTGAC